CATCATATCTCATATCCTAGAAAAGTTCATAATAATTATTTTTGAATCGCTGTCGGCCCGCTGAATCGGACGCAATATTCTCGCAGAGTCTTGGGTAGCATGTGAATGACTGATCTCTCGATTGCCAGAAGCTCCAGAAAGGGATATCGAATAAAAAGAAGAGACCAGAGCACAGGCCGGGAACCTTTCAGTCGACAAGACTTTTCCCGCTCAAACGACTCGCCTGCCCTAGACCGGTTTCGCTCGACCTGACTCAAATGGTTCATTTCGTCGCTATGTATGACAACTCTCCGGGAAGGTGTCCTGGGCAGTGTCGTTTGACAGACTATTTCGACACGTCGCCTCGCCGCGGCGTGCTCAAGCAGGTAGAACAGAGCTGAGTCGGTGAGAAGTTGAGGCTATTTCTCTTTGACACACCAATATATTAGGATAGACTCGAGTGCGACTATACTGCACAAAAGGAAAAGACGCTTTGGGACATCACCCAATTCAATGGCAGCGAAGAGAGAGCTAGTAGGTTTGGCATCGGTGGGTATATCCTCCTCATGACTGCTTAGCTTCGCTATCCGTCATCCTCTCGACTACAACCCTCGGAAACATTCGAACGCTTACACGGGAGGACTAGAAGAACGAAGAACGAGAGAGGGCAGGGGAAGGGTCAGTCTCGATCAGTCATAGACTATGACTACCTACTTTGAAGCACGTCGAAAATCTGAGCTCAAGTATTCAAGTAAAGTCGAACCAATAAGTGAACCTATCATGAAAAACTATTCACTCTGCATCGGCGCCATGAGGTCGATGTGAACGGCACCAGCGGCTAAGCTGTGATTCGAAAAATCTCGTGCAGGTCGACGCGATCTCAAATTCGAACACAATAGGTCTGAGCATCCGGCTGACTAGGCGCTCGGCCGGACCGACATTCGGTGCCGACGGACGCATCGACCGATGGATTGACGGACGGAAGGAAGCAGGATGTCCTATTCTCTCCATCGGGCACCAACTTTCTCGGAGCGCCTTCTTTCTATCACTATGTAGTACATTCCTCCAAGCTGTTCGCCTGGAGCTCCAATGTCATTACATTGTAGTCAAGGTTTGTTGTTATCGTGACCTACATACGCCGTACCGACGCAAAGAAAGGTTTCTCCATTTACTCACCGAAAGCCGGTTTTTTTTCGAGACGTCCATCTTGTTTTTCACGGAATCAGGTATGCAGGGGAGCCTCTCCTTCCCGTCGCGGGGTTCAGGATAAGCGACGTGGAGTCTGTTCAGGATGCCTTCCACTTTTCGGTTCTTCAGCTTGGCCTCAACCCTGCGGAATGAAAAAAAATAGATCAGCGACTTGCTCGCTTTGGAGATTGCCCGGTATGTTGAATGGGTGGACTACAACATAGTTCCGACCCCAGCTTGAGGATGCCCAGGGGTGGACAAGGAGTCGTCACTCCCTCAGGGAGGAATACATACCTCGAAGCATGGAACACGCCTTGTTCCTCACGTCGAAAAAGCCTTCTTGCGTTGCCGTGCTCATGAACAAAACTTCAAGGTTCGACTCGCTCTGCAACTCTTCGATGAGTTTTTTCTTCTCCTCGTCGTAATCAGATGGGGGTAGGGCGTCGATCTTGTTACAGAGGACAAGCAACGGTTTATTTGCGAAGAGAGGTTTCAAACTCTTCAGCAAAGAGATCTGACTCTCGAGGGAATTCCCACATTGCTCCGAGGGGTCGAGGACGAAGAGCACGCAAGCTCTCAGATGTGCCAGGGCGGTGACAGCTTGCATCTCGATGGTGTTTCGTTCCTCGAGGGGATGATCCAAGATTCCAGGGGTATCGATCACTTGCCATTTCATGTACTCGTAATCCGTATGACCAACGTACAGAGACTTCGTCGTGAAAGCGAACGGTTGAACCTCGACATCTGCTCTCGTGACACAAGTGATGAACGATGATTTCCCTACGTTCGGATATCCACACAGCAGTAAGGTCCTCGTGTTGGGGTCGATGGATGGCAGACGGGAAAGATGCTGACGGACTTGTTCGAGATAGAGCAGCGACTGGGCCTGACGTCGCATGATGGTTGCCATACGTCCGAGTGCGGCTTTCTTGAGTCGCTTGCATCTGAACAGCGAATCTGCATATTTGAGCAGACGCACATAGTCCCGGGAGACCTTATCGATGAGATGCAGGGCTTGATTGATCTGACCCAAAGATAACTTGTAGTGATCTCTGTCGTAGAGAACGTTCATCAGATCCGCGTAGAAAGGATGGATATCTTCGAGCTTGGGGAAATCCGATACGATTTTGCTCAGCTTGTCATGGAAATTTTGTTGGGTGAATTTCACCTTGCGCATGTAAAAGCTCCTAATTCGAGTGATTTTATACTGCTTGTGGACAACTGTCGGGGTTTTGCGCTGAGTCTTCGAGAGGATGATGTCCACGAAGTCTTTCGCTGTGGGCACCACTTCGATCTTCTTGAAGTTATAACACGCCACGGTGGATGGAGGACTTGAGCTAGAACTGTCACGATTGAAGACTCACTGACTCGTTGACCACGCGTCGAACCCCGAGGGTCGGAGAGCTCACCCGCGTGTTAGCTCAATACCTCGTGGCTCGAAAAGGTGTCTGCAATGTTTGTCAACATCCGATGTTTGAAGGCTCCCGTAGTAGCCTTCAAACATCGGATGTTGACAAACATTGCAGACTCCTTTTCGAGGCACATTGAGCATCCCTCCAGCGTTGTTCCTGGGCCGAGTCCCGTGACTTGCCTTTTGTACCCACTGGACACCGTGAACCATTGGCTACCGTTCTGGAGGAGCTTAGAAGCGGATCGAACATTGTCGCTCCTTCTTTATTTTTGCCTCGAAGGCCGATCTTGGTCTGTTGTTGTGCCTCCTGGCCACCACCGCTCCTTTTCGAGCCACGAGGTATTGAGCTAACACGCGGGTGAGTTCCCCGACCCTCGGGGTTCGACGCGTGGTCAACGAGTCAGTGAGTCTTCAATCGTGACAGTTCTAGTTCCATCCGAAATGGATCTTGGTTTTGTTGTCGCACGCGTCCGGAGCGACTTCTTCGAGACGAGAGAAGCCATGATGCAAATCATGGACGCCATTAAAATACATTTCGGTGAGTAAATGAAGAAACCTCTCTTTGCGTCGGCAGAAGGCGCTCCGAGAAAGTTGGTGCCCGATGGAGAGAATAGGACATCCTGCTTCCTTCCGTCCGTCAATCCATCGGTCGATGCGTCCGTCGGCACCGAATGTCGGTCCGGCCGAGCGCCTAGTCAGCCGGATGCTCAGACCTATTGTGTTCGAATTTGAGATCGCGTCGACCTGCACGAGATTTTTCGAGTCACAGCTTAGCCGCTGGTGCCGTTCACATCGACCTCATGGCACCGATGCAGAGTGAATAGTTTTTGTATGATAGGTTCACTTATTGGTTCGACTTTACTTGAATACTTGAGCACAGATTTTCGACGTGCTTCAAAGTAGGTAGTCATAGTCTATGACTGATGAGATGACCCTTCCCTGCCCTCTCTCTTCTTCTTCTTCTATCCCTCCCGTGTAAGCGTCAATGTTTCCGAGGGTTTGTAGTCGAGAGGATGGCGGATAGACGAAGCTAAGCAGTCAT